CCCCAAAACCCCAAAACCCCAAAACCCCAAAACCCCTTACGAAAGTAGGGGTACTGATCATTTGGGGAATTATTATAAAATTTTAAAATTTCTATAGATCCTTCTCAACTTCTTTAAGGATTTGCTCTTCTTCATCTTCTTGAGTGACCCTTCCTCCAAGATTTTCATCGGTGAGGAGCTTTGACATCATTGCTTTAAATTCTTCATATGAAATCTCACCATCACCGTTGATATCTACTTCTGATATGATTTCACCCCAAATTCTTTCATCAAATGTCTTTCCAATTCCCAATACCTCCTTTATTTCTCATGATGATATTGAACCTCCTCCATCTCCATCGAAGAGATTAAATGCTTGTTTGAGTTTTTCATCTGAAAGGAGTTCCTTTTTGCTGATTGTGGCAACTACCCACTCAGAGTAATCGATAGCTCCGCTTTTGTCAGTATCAGCCATTAGCATAATTCTGTCTACTTCTTCTTCGGCTCCATCTCCTATAAACTCCTTGTATCCAATCTTCAACTCCTCTTTGGTGAGGACACCAGTCTTGTTCACATCAAGATGCTTGAAAGCTTTTTGGAGGTCATGCATTTGCTCTTTAGAGGCTAGTTGTGATACAATAAAAGCAATCGCAGCTTGTTGTAATTTCTTGGTGGTTTTAAAATCTCTCAAATTCTCCAAAGCTGTTATGGTGTTTGCTATGTCACCTTCTTCATTAATTTGACTTAAAAACCAAGGATGGTTTAGAGCTTCTGATCAGCTGATTCGTCTCTTGGGATCATAAGTCATTAATTTCTTTATTAAATCCTTTGCTTCATCTGTGACTTCTTCCCATTGGCCTCCTTCGATGGTGTATCTGCCATCTCTTACTTTCTTTCAAATTTCTTTATCTGTCTCACCTTCGAAAGGAGGCTTGCCTCAGAGAAGAATGTACATGATAACTCCGATACTCCATCAATCTCATTTTTCATCATAATTTGTGTATAAAACTTCTGGAGCAATATAATATGAAGTTCCAAATGGCTGACTCATTTTCTGACCAGGTTTCATCTTGTAGCTTGTCCCAAAATCTATTATTTTTATTAGGTTATTATTCGTTGAGTCTATGAGGACATTCTCGGGCTTGAGATCTCTATGTACAATACTTTTTGAATGGCAGTATGAGATTGCTTCTAATATTTGGTGAATAATAATAGCAGCATCACTCTCATTGTAAAAGGTCTTATTTCGCTATCTCATCAAATAACTCTCCGCCAGATCAGAGCTCTGTAATAAGGAAATACCTCTTCTCATCCTGGAAAACCTCATAAATTCTAAGAATATTCGGATGATCGAGTTTTTTCATGATTTCCATTTCATAAAAGAAGCGTATTTTCTCGTTACCTTCAAGTGCTTCTTTCTTAATAATCTTCACAGCCCTGGCTTGTTTGGTGAGCTTATTATTTTCACTTTCGAACTTCTCCAAACGAGCCTGAGCCTATTGCAGGGCCTATTTGGTAGGAGTCTCTAAATCTACTATTCTTTTCAAGGACAAAATCTCCTTGGGAAATTTTGAGTTCATTCACATCTGTTATTTCCTTCATTGGAGGATCATTAAGCTCACTGAGAGATACCACGTTTGTGTCTTTTTTGCTTGATTTCGATGTTCAGACACCCATCTAGAAATATAAATTTAATTAAATTATTCAAGTTATAAATATTGTAGGGGTTTTGGGGTTTTGGGGTTTTGGGGTTTTGGGGTTTTGGGGTTTTGGGG